TGTAAGTGGATATAATTTTAATCCGAGTCAATTAGAATATGAATTGGAATAGCCCTAACTAAACAACTAGATATGAATTATAGTGTCGTTTATAAACCTCTTTATATCTATCTTTATGTGTATTCAACATTCATTAAAAAATATAAAAATAAAAATTAGGAAGAGATGGTACTTCTGCCACGTGTCCAAACGGAGTCCAATTGTGCATTTTAAGGGTTGATTTAGGCCCTCCACACCTAATTTGGACCAACTACCAAAGTAACCAACAGAAAATGATTTGTCAGTATGATGCAGCTATCAATTTCAAGTAGCGGTGGGTGAGAGACACTGTGTCCCCTATATAGTGAGATCTCATTGTATGCCCACATTCTTATGTAGTGTCTAGACTGTCCAAGTCCTCTTAAAGAAAGGGGCAAAATTTCCCAAGTCATCATAAAAGTTTTTGTGTGGCAACAAAGTTTGTCCACTTATTTGTTACATGTCTTGATGCCTGTCTATTACCTATTTGAGAGGAGAATGAAACTTGTGGCTATTTTATTTCGAAATTTATATTGAATGAAGCTGATATAAACGCTCCACTTCTTAAATTTAGCAATTGAAATGATTATTCTGCCGATGTGGCTCAAGGAACCGACATTTCTTCAATAATCAACTTCAGATAACGCTTAGTTTGCGGACAATTAACGTGATGAATTTGCCCACATCTTTCCCTAGTCGACCAAAAAGACTCGATTGTTTCAGGTTTGTTACCTTCCCTATCATAATATATGTGTCATGTCATAAAATAAAAGCAAGTTATTTTATTGTTCTTTTACCACTTACTTTTTGGTGATGATAATAGTTTGGATAGAAAAATACAATGTTATGTCTTCAATCTTAAATGCAATAGTCACATAATACCAAGAAAAATTCAAATGATAGCCACAATTCCACCACCGACTCTCACGTATGTAATGGCCCACTACGTATCTGAGGGTGTCCAAGAGTCGCAATGATTGTATGCATCATAACTCTCTAATAATAAGTCTCAATTTTCTTTCTAATCATTATACGCAAGATAAAAATAAAAAAAAAAAATTCACAACATAAAAATAGAAACACTTTCTTCATTGAATAATGTATAAATTTAGTTTATCTGTACATTGTGCTTAGATGGACTATACTAAGGAATCAACATGATTTCGATTTTAGGATTGGGTGATTGAGAGGATGAGGTATATAGAGAGAGAGTGTTTATTTTTTATTTTTTATTTTTTGGTAATAAGAATCAATTTTAACTAAAAAACTATAATGCATGCATGTCGAGAAGTATCTATATTCAATTCAAAACTAATAAATATATAAATAAAAATAAAAATAAACAATGTTAAACATCATTTTAATAATATGTAAACATTATATAATTGTGCAATTTCATTATTTTAATGTCTCCCAGTTTACGGGATGTTTTTCAAACAATTTAATGGATTCCAATGACATAACAAATGCATTAAATAATATATTTATAGTAACATGGAAAGTTGACATCACCGTAAGGTCAATTATTTTATAAAAGTCAAACTGGCATGAGTAATCTTATTGTATGCATACGTCATGATAAGAACTTAAGATAGGTTTGATAAGTGTTTGCTTACTTATTTATTCAAAAGTTTGAACTAATGAGTAATGCAATATACTTATCTATTAAAACTCCTTTCACTCCCCATCTAAATTCGATGTGGGACAAGTCTCACTTATAACATTCTCCCCCATCCGAACTCACGCAATACCCTCGTTGCGATTGGGCTAACCTGCCTACCCAAGGTGGTTCACCCGAAAGCCTTTCAGGCCGGACGCTTGGCGCAATACCGGATTAAGGACTGGAACTGGCTTCGATACCAACTGCAACGGGTGGACGTTTGCCCATTTACTCAAAAGTTCAAACTGTTGTGTAGTGTTGCATACCCAGTCAAAAAAACCCCTTTCACTTCCCATCCAGTTCCGATCTGGGATAAGTCTCATTTGTAACAATAGGGCACTTAGAATCAAAGTTGAGTGGCTAACCACTTTTAAAATGCTGAATAATACAACTCTGCTGACTTCACTCAGTTTTAAAATGTTCTTAACTAAAGAAATCAAAGGGAAAATAAATAAATAAAGTAACAAAACCAAGCTATAATTTTTCGACATAATATTTTGCATAAGATATGAAATCCGATTAATAGAGCAGACCGACTTGGTTATTTATTACTTGCGTTCATGAAAACAATGACTGAGGAGAGGAATTTATCGTGCTTGATAACTAGTGACAAAACAATCATCTGGGGATACTCAGAGTACATGAAATGAGTAGATAAATAAAGCCCAACGACACGGGTAATTCATATAAAATGGCCAGATTTATAGTCAGTAACTTTCGAAGAACGACAACAAACATCTTCGAATCTTTTTAATGCCTATTTAGCTTCATAGATCAGATCAGAAGCAAGGTACATAATATAGGGAATAATATGAGCATTTCTTGGGAAGAAGTCTAAAAACACTCAAAATCATTAGAGAGCTTCCACTATTTACCCATATCATGAAGTGCACAAATAGTGCCCCACTTTCATCCACAAGGAATTCATCCACACTATCTGTTACTTTACATCTAGATAATCTGAATGTGAAATGATGAATCTGAATGTGAAATGATGAACACACGCATACAATTTTTTATTGATCTCAAAAGAGTGAAAAAAGACTACATTAACATGAAATATTTATTCTTACCTCAAGAGCTCTCCAAGAAACACTTCCTTGCGGCTATATACTCTATGATGAACTATGAAGTCCGCGACTGACCTGTACTCAATCCAAGTTTCCAACCTCAAAAGCCACAAGAGAAATTCAATATAAGTTGAAAGTCAAATAAATCCAAAGAGTGATTATGAAATATTGAAATCCAATTAATTAAGCATCAAAATCAACATATCATTAAAAACCAACTCTTCATTAATAAATTCCCAACAACGAGTGAAGTCATCAAATGTGATAAAATTATTTTCTTTGGGCTCTTGGTATGAGAAATAGGGCTTTTGCCAAACCGTGCGAGATGTTGTATTTATTTTGAGCAGAACAACTAAAATACCAGATCAAAATTTTATATCATATTATATTTCAATAAATACATATGTGAAGAAAGTAAACCGTGCATTACTTAGAAAAATTTTATAAACTAAAGTATGTTAGAACTCATAAGGGCCCTAACATGGACCCCAAAATCTGATAAGATCAAACCAATATTGACCAAATTCGTTCTAATTGAGAGTGCCACACCCAACTTATGAAGCATTCTTTTATGAGGTGGAGGTATTCATATATCGTCCATATCAAATATCAACATTTGTCGAACACTCAACAAATGCATGCCCAATACTTTCTAAAGGTGTCTATAATTTGAAAAAATAAATCATTTTAAATGTGTGCCTAATGCTACATATTTGATACTTCTCAAATAATTCAAGAAACATGTTAATAAAAAGTTTTTAAAGAAAATTCAACAGAGGAATATTGAGATATAATGAGAATATATCATTACTAATTCATTCCAAATTTACACTACTCTTAAAGACATTATTACCATTTTCTTATTGTTTAAGGAATGTTAATTTTAAAAGAAGCCTCATTATCAATGGATAGTTTTGATCCATCCACCAGATCTCTCCCATCACATCACTTTACCTGGATGTTACAAGTCATGTGGTAAACATGATACCAAATCAACTCTTCTACTGTATTGTGTTTTTGCAAGGTCAGCTCTAAAATTGGCTCAAACTAGGGGGTTTGACTGAGGTGGTGACAGGAGACTGAGTATTGCTGCCATTAGAGAAGATATTGATTATCTGAAGCTGCAAATGCATACGGGACGGAGCAAATGATTTAGCTCATTAACTTGAACAGTATGCAATGAAAAGGAGAGAATGTGTTTGTCTTTACTATTTATGATGTGTTTCCATCTTTTATTGAGTTTTAGACTATTAGTGAGTTAGCTAATAGTGGTTGTAATTCTGCTTAATCAACTATCAATGAAAGTTTACATGCCTTTGACACGAACGAAAAAAAAAAAAGAAAAGAGTATCGTGTTTCTCTCTTCTTTCACAAGAAAATACAATAGTGACAAATAAACTAGTAGAGTATATACAATTTTTTTCTCACATGTATTCAAGGTACTTAACATCTAAGCAGCTTCAATATTGTATCAATACATAATTTGATATAAAACCAAAGCAGCCCTAGCTCTTGATGTTGATGATGAAAAAAAGTCTACAGCTGACCACAAAGCAAGGGTCGAAAGTCCCATATGCCCCCAGAAATCACCATCAAAATTAAATATCACAACCATTCTCTCAATACAATAAAGTCCCACCCACTTCATTTTTTCTTTTTCTTATTCTTTTTTTTTTCTTTAAAAATAATAATAATTAGTACATTACCACTGTACCTTCAAGACACCCCATTAAGAAAAAAACTTTAAACCTCCGGATGGGACAAGGCAATACTAATCCCGATTCACAAATGGGAGAATACTAATCCCCCCAGCCCATTTAAATGCCATTAATTTGGGTGGGGGGGGGGGGGGGGGGGGGGGGGCGCCGCGGGGGAGGGGACACACACACACACACAACCCCTCATGATAGACTTGCTAAAAGGAAAATCACAAACCGGAAAGGTAGCTAAAATCACTAGGTAAATTTATTCGGGAAAAGTTGCTAAAGTTCAGCCAAATATTCTGCCAGTTGAACAAGTTCGCACAAAAATGATATTCCAGTGAAAATCATAGCCAGATACCCGTGCAAGCAATCAAGCACTATAATGTAATGTTCTTATACTCTGAAAGCAATATCGCCATGATACCTGAGCACTAAAATATGCAAGTTCAGATGCCTCTTCAAATGTTAGAAATGGTACAGGTTCTGCATGTGAATATTTGTTAGGATCACAAGCCAAAACACCATCAACATCCTTCCATACCCGTAATGGATCGAGAAAAAGGTTCTTAAATATGTTGCCTACAATCATCATTTTTTTTTCTTCTACAATCATCATATGGGAGTCATGTACATACAAAATCTTGAAGCTTATTAAAATATTTAAAGAATTTGAACCCCTTAGTATAACACTTTGTCACACACCATTTTCTTCCTACTTCTGTTCTGTCTATGTTCACATTTTCATAATGATCATGCAAATCTATCAACAACTCTCGACATATATGCATTCAGGATGTAACCTGAATTTCTCGCAACCCCAATGCTTTACCAATAGTGGTTGCTGTCAAATCACTACCACCCCTATCCAATGTAGTCACTGCACGAGATCTCCAGCCCTGTGATCACAAAATTCTAATATATCACGTTATTATAGACTATCAAATCGAAAATCCCATTTAAGTTGATCAGATACTATGACACCTTTAACAAAGAAAATGTATAAGGGTACTGCAAGTATAAAGACCTTTCCAAGGAAGCCAGTAACAACATGAACTGCGCCGTCACTCATCCAATCCAATCACTATGTAATCTCTTTGCAACAGCTGGATAAGTTGCTTCCAAAAATATCCGCATTTTGTAAAGTCATCCGTTGTTATAAAACCAATATCAATAGCATCATACTGCAAAAACAGTACACAGTGACAATCAGCCATTGTCAAAAGCAGTACTGGCAAAGGCGCCTACAAGTACAACAAAAGTATGGCCAGCAGGTAATGTTCCGTTGTTATAAAACCAATATCAAAAGCATCATACTGCGTACACAGTGACAAACAGCCATCGTAAAAAGCGGTACTTGCAAAGGCGCCTACAAGTACAACAAAAGTTTGGCCAGCAGGTAATGTGACAGAAGGAAATAAATATTCTGTATAATTTACGACATTCAAATTATCTACAAAGCCTTAACCAATAACAACATAAAGTATAGAAGCATAAAATATTTACTCCCGTCTTATCTAGCGAAATATTAATGTTCAAGTGGATACTTATATCAGCTTATATATCATGTTGGTCAATCACACTTCTATCAACTAGAATTAATAGGCCTGCTACATTTTTTTTTTGGCTGCACAAAGGCTTTCATAGAATAACTCTGTGACAAAGAATACTACACTTATCCTTTTGTTTCCAACCAACCACAAATCAAACCAATAATCTATCAAGAGAACTCTGAGAAAAGGTTGAAAGCAGCAGTTTTTATATGTAAAATACCTGGACATAAAAAAAAAAAAACACCACACTTATCGCTAAATTTAAACATAAATCTAAACTGCGCAGATCAGGAAGACAGGAAGTGATACACATTATAAAGCATAACCAAATCACAGAGATTTAAATATTAAGCACAATTTAGAGTTGGTAAAACCACCAAATAACATCTGATTCTACATACAATCATTTCAATCCAAGATCCTTGTTTTGGTTTATTACACCTTTCTGATATACTGTTAAGCAAAAATTGTTAAGCAACTGAGAATGGTCCTGAAAATATTGTAATTATGCTCAATGAGAATGGATTCAATTTACACAACGCAATTAAGGCTTCTAAATATTGACATTAGAAGTGGAAGGACAAAGAAGTCCTTACCTGAGATGCCGTTCTTTCACAAAGGTGAATTCATCAATATTGGAGACATTAGAAATGCCACAACTGACAGCCTTTTCTCCAGCCTAACAGAGAAGCAACCAATTTGATTCAGAATCTTGTTAAAAGGGAAGTAATAAACAAACACAATTGATAAGGTAAGGAATGATCCAAACGAAAGTGAGAGGTATAACTACCATCAAAAGGCTGTTAGTTGTCGTCCCATAGCAGAGAGAACAATGACTGGTCTTTCTTCTGAGTTGACCTGTTGACTCCAACATTGTGAATCGGCGTGTAGACTTAGCATTATATTTATATTATTAAAAGTATAGTTTGCGTTCCTGAGAGATTTAAGTGGCGTTTCATCATCACCGCCACTCCTTCCGGGGAAGCACAAATATGAAAGACAAGTTTGAATGTCACTTGCTTAATTGGATGAGCACATACATACCTGGATGCCTTCCTAGTTTCTTTCAAATTCTACCTCTTTTCTCCGGTAACACAGACCCTTCCAATCAAATATATATCACCATATCTAGATGAGTTTACAACTCAACAACACAAAATTCTCTCTCTAATAATACAGTAGTAAGAAAGAGATTATTAAGATAGCTCTCGCATTGCCACTCAACCATGTTTAATTACTTCGTTTCTGGGAGATGAAGTCGTAACAATTATACAACAATTCTTGTTGGGACAAGTTTAGTTGAGCTACATACAGACCAATTACCACAAATCAATTGAGCTACACATAGACAAATTACCACAAATCAATTGAGCTACATACAGACCAACCACCACAAATCAATCAGAGTGCAAGAAGCTATTTTTAGAATAAAATAAACAACAATTAGATTCCTCTTGATTGATATGACCGCAACAAGGACAATTATCCAAGAGTTAAAAAGGAAAAACAAAAAAAAAACAAAAAACAAAAAAAGAAAAAAGAAAATTAAAACAATAAAATTAAACATATATGTTTTCATCGGTACAAAAAAAAAAAGCAGCTCAATTATCAAAAATTTCCTTGCTTTTTTTTTTGGCATGGATGCTTACTTCTTGTTGAGCAGATCATCAGGAACAACCTTGAGGAGCTTCCTCTGCTTGGACTTGGCAATCTTCTTGAGGGTCTTGGGGTTCGTAATCTTCTGGAGCTTAGTACCAGACTTGAGAATGTTCTCCTGCTTCTTCTTCTCTCTCTCCTCCCTCTTCTTCCTTTTCTCCACCTTATTCTGCCTGATCTCCTCCTTGAGCTCCGTCATCCTCTCCTTGTACGCCTTCTTTATCTCCTTCTGCTTCATCCTCTGCTCAAAACTTGTGTTGTTTCGACTCACCTTCATCGCAGAGGCACGGTGGGTTCTGGGTTGCTTCCAGTTGCGCCCCGACACCTTTCCAGTGATTACTCCGTCGTATGTAGGTTTTCCGAATACGGGCTTGTTAGGGTCTTCTGAGGAAGACACTGCTTGTCTCTTTGATGGAGGAGGAGGAGGATTGCCCTCCTCGATCTCCATCTCCATGGAGCTGGAACCATCGCTGATCTTTTGTTGTTGGACATATGATGATCGATTGAGTTCTTCGGCTTGTTCAGATCTCTTTCTCTTGTACGTTTTGCCGCCGAAGCCTTCGTCCAGACACCTGAAATCGATTGTGCAGGCCATTACAAACCCTAAACCTAAAACCCCTCTCTTGATTCGCAGGTAGCTATTTATACTTGTAAAAGGTAATGCTAGAAAACCCGACTTCAAAATAAATGTGACATTTTGGTAATTTAACTTTAAGATGATAAATTTTAATATTTTTTTATTATATTGATAATGGATAAATTATCAAAATTATTCATTAAAAATCTATTAAGATCATAATGGTTACTTTTTAAAAGTTCAAATTATGTGGCACATATATGGATACGGACGCGTGGATTTGTGGAAACGGCGACATATAAATATAAATTTTTATTTTTGTATATCTATTCAATATTAATATAATAAAATTTTAATTTATTTATAATTTTTATACTAAGAGTTGTTCTGAAATGAATTAGAAAATAAAATTATATTATTGTAATAATTTTTATATCATATATATCATTCTTCCACAATATTGTCATAACAGTATTCATATTATATTCAAAATTATTAGGTAGACTTGCGGTATAAATGTCTTAAAAGTATTGGCAAAGTATCCGGAAGTGTTGACTAAGTGTCCGAAATAATAAAATTAAATTTGTTTTTTGGACACGTATATGAAGTGTCAGACAATTATTCGAGGATTGTCCAACGAGTGTCGGTGTCCGACACAAGTAGAGTCCTTTCGTAGAAGTGTCTGTGCTTCCTAAGAACTTCAATGCAATGCAAAAATGTTAAATTGATAATATAAAAGAAAAAAAAAAATAGTATTTTTACTTTTAAAATGAGACATTTATTTTAGGACAACTAAAAATAAAATGGTGAGCATTTTTTGAAAGGAAGGGAGTATTATTTTGATTCATGAAATAATGACACTATTATGATTTGTAACACTATTATTTTGATTCATGTGCTTAAAATAAAAAATAAAAAAATAAAAAATAAAATAAAACCTCTGCGTTGCTAACCCAGCTGTAGTGCATTATTTGGAGTCTTTGGCCCTTGTTCGGAACCCATCAATATCGTTTCCTCTCCTTCCCCTTTAACATCTAACTCCCTAATCCCAGTAACCATTGCCAAGTCAAAATAAATAAATAAAAATTGCAAATAATATCTTGAAGCATATTTTGTGCACTATACCCCTAAATTATCACATTTTTTTACAAAATGTCCCTATATTTGGGTTATTTTTTATTAAATGTATATAATGCCCTTTTCATCAAATGTTAAAATTTAATAAAAAGAATATCTAATTAGAGAAGAAAATATATAATATTAAAAAATTAAAATACTGAAATTCAATAAAAGGAAATAATAATAATATAGTAGTATGAAATACTAAAATTCAATAAAAGGAAATCAAATTCGAGAAGGAAATATATAATATTAAAAAACTTATTTATTTAATTCAATAAAAGAAAATATAATTTGAATTTTTATAAATCATTTTAAATTTTTATAATATTTTTCTTTCTATAAATAATATATATTTATAATATTATTTATATATAATAAATAATAATGCTCTAACTAGAAAAGGAAAACATATATAATATTAAAAAACTTATTTAACAATATAGTAGTAGGAAATACTAATAATAATAATAATAATATAGTAGTAGGAAATCTAATTAGATAAGGAAATGTATAATATTCAAAAACTGAACTACTGAAATTCAATAAAAGAAAATCTAATTAGAAATGAACTAAAATTTCGTGATGGTCTAATCACCGTTTGATAGGTAAGTTGAACATTCTGGTCAATTAAATTCCATGAATACAGGTTCCATCAATGTACACGTGTCAAAATCCTAAAAGTTCAGGTATTTAAAGAAAGTACGATTCAATTCAAATTCAAATTTGAATAGATTTCCATATAAAATGAGACAAATCTCTTATTTATGGGAAATAACAAAATCATAGGGAGTTTTCCAAATTAAACACCCCATCCTTTGGCCTATATATACAAGGCCATCTTACACACATAAAAAGACGGAGACAGACAGACAGATCGAGAGGAAGAGAACACCAAAGCTCTGTTGAATGTGCAATAATATGGAGGTTTATGCAATTTAATTGAGGTGTATGTTAATTGCTTATGATGTAAGTTAACTACATACTACTTAGAATTGTTTATTTTGCTTAAATAAATGTAATGGATGTTTGTATGATTATTATCATGTTTATTTCTGGATTATTTGATGTACATCCATGCTTGCATCATTTATCAGATTCGGAACCATTGTCAGGATATGGGTTCGGATTTATGCACCATTGTCAGGATGTAAGGGCATACTATGGATGAGCTGGCTAATAAGTTTAGTTTCATTTTTCGTGTAAGGTCAAAGATTTATATGTGGATGACATGCCATTAAAAGATTATGGCAGATGGTTTATTTTATGTTTTGGATATGATATGGATTTATATATATGGATATGTGACGACCCTGGTTTTTAGGCCAGCGTGTCCTGTGATGAACCAAAGATTTGACCCGATAACAGATCCGATATGCAGAAGCGAAAATAGAAAACAGGACTCTAAGAAGTCAAAGTGACCTTCCATGAGGTCGTGGAACTCAATAAGAACTGATGCGGAAGCAAAAGGTCAAAACATGACAAATAAGCCCCCAGGGGCAAAATAGTCATTTTTGAAAAATGTGGATTCGGGTGCCACCGAGCACACCGCTGGAAAGACAACAAAAAAATAATCATGATGGACTCAAGAATCGCATGATTCGGAGTCCGGACAAAGGAGAAACAGCCTGACGAAGAAAAATGAGCACTTAAGGCTAAAATGGTAAATTGGTAATTATCCAGGAAGATCCGGGTGCAACCGAGCACACCGTTGGAAAGACAGCGAAAAATTAGTCAAGTTCAAAAAAAGTTTACTCGATTTGGAGTCCAGACGAGGGAGAAACAAGGGTTTGAAGTTGAGACGTCGCGGTGGCCCAAAGAAGGCCATGGCGCACACGGCGCCCACCGGCGCGCATGCCGGTGCCCAAAGACATGCCTGGTGGCAGCCCTTGGCTGCTGCTATATTTTTTTTTTATCTGCCCAGAACTGAGGCTTGAAACGGAGGTCAAGACGAGTTTTTCTGGAAAAACACGAAGAAGAAACCCCGCTCAAAATTAAGTTTTCTACGTCACTCGCAAAAGAATTCAAAAAAAACTCACTGTAAAATACCCAAAATGCCCCTCCAAGAAATCTAGTCATGAGGGTCATAAAGCTGCTAAATGAAAACTGGAAGTTGAAACTTCACGAGAGATTTCCGGTACCAAGACGACATTTTCTGGAAAAACACGAAAAAGAAACCCCCCCTAAAATCATGTTTTCTATTCAACCATGTCAAAAGAAGAAAATAAAACTGATGTGAAAGGTCCAGAATGCCCTTAGATCAGATTATGCAAAAAAAATGCGAAATGAATTCACAAGAGGCTCAAATCACCAAGGATGTGGTTTTACCCAGAAACGACCATGCACGTAAACGTAACTTACTTATTTGAACGTGCAACAATGGTCCACGACTTAAAAATACCACCGATGCAAAATTTGACCCCCCCAACGGCCAAAAAGGCAAAAATGAACTAAAAATGGGAAATATGAAAACCAAAATTAGGAAATGGTTTCAAATGACTGCTTGGCCCTTGGCCACACTTCATATAGGATAAATGAGACCTAGTAGAGATGCCGGAACACACTTTGCACCACCCGATTTGAAAATGAACCCTTAAAGGCTCGGATTTCACTATTTTAGCCCAAAACGCAAAATATGAAACTAAAATGCAAAAATGAGAACTAAATAGTGTTTGGCCCTTGGCCACACCTCACATATGGCAAACAAATACTAAAGGATGAATTACATACACAATGCACGCACCGGTGCGAAAATGACATAATATCTTATGAATTTTCAATATTTCCATAATGAAGTTTGTAAGTAAAAGTGTATAACATACATAATATATGATATTGGCCTCCGGCCTCATTACATACACATCAAAAGAGTGTCAAAAGTTGCACTTAAGTGCACATTATATGGCTTAAACAATAAGTACAAGTTTTGTCAAAATAAACAAAAGTAAAAATAATATGCTAACATGTGCATATTCAATATCATCAAAAATACTTCAAAACTTCTAGCCTATCTAAGAGTGTTGTGTATCTCACAACAAAGCTTCTTTACCTGCAAAACATCCAGTAACTTCGGGATGAATAAATAAGACTAACAAGTTTATTCGTAAGGGACGAGCATGCATGACTCGATTTCTTTAAGATTTTTAGACAACATGAATCATTTCAAAAAGGGACCATGTCACCTAACGTCTATGTCAAAGATTAGACTCAGGGATCATCCTAAGTTATCTTAGATCATTTCTAGCATAAATCACATCACCTATGCAATTCAAACAATATGGAAGCACGTTATACAAATCAACAAGATAAAGGTTCTTAAAGGTATCAACTTGCAATCTAGAATACAGAAACAACTAAAGTGATTATGCCACCTCACGTCTATGTTCTAAATAAGTTTAAGGAATCATCCTAAACCATGTTGAACAATCAAAACACAAATTACAATTTCAATGCCATCTAACTAACATTAGAACTTCTAATACAACGCGTAAAGTATAGTTTTTCAAAGTAAACATCCTGAAACTTAAAACAAGAAAACAAGTAAGAAACAACAAGTCATAATATCATCTAGTTATCAACTTAAAATGAAATGCGAAATCAAATAAACTGGATACTTGGATGTCACCCCGGATCAAACCGACAATGTGGTTACTTTAGGGTTACTAGCTCATGAGTAACCTCCCTATGTGCGCACTAGACTATATAGAGGGAATATCCCCCGTACTAGAACCACGTCCTAGCCGTAGCCAAATAACGACATCCCCAAGTTTCCAAAATCAACAAGTTGTGCAACAACGTATATATCAGCATGTATATACAAGATAATCAACTATCTACCATGCACAACCAAATTTGGAAACCTATACAATACATGCTTTAAGTCCACAACTAATATGATATGATGAATGTCGAATCTTCAGTGTGCGATTCGTTACACGCTATGCGT